TATCTTACGTTGTAATAATAATTTTGTTACTGTATCTAGAAGCCTTTGTTTTTTTAAAGAAAACATTTATTAATCATGGGAGTTTCACTAAGAGGAAGCCTTTCTTTTACAGGAACGCTGTTATCACATTCACACAGTTACACACATTCACACCTTGAAGCTGTCCAGTACAACCACAGTCTGACCCGCTAGCCACTGAGCAGCTCCACTGAAGCAGTTAGGGTTAAGGGGCCTTGCTCAAGGGCACCACAGTGGTGTTGAAGACAGAGGGGCAAGTGCTGCTTTTCACTTTTCCCACTCAGATTTCATCCCTACCAAGCTGAGAACCAGCAGCAAGCTCGCTTCTCTAAACTTTAGGCCACCACTGCCCAGACCTTAATTCAAGTTTCTCAGAATCTGAATAAGAGCTTATGTGGTTTCTTTGAAAATGAAACTCCTATGAACTTTTCGTGAATCCAGATAATTTTGAAGCATTGCAGAGGTATAATACTTCTAGAAGCCTTTGGAGATCCTCATCTCTGTACGTCCGTATTATCCAAAACATGGGCTCAGATGGGATCAAATTTTACATGAATGCATAATGACAGTAACACTGAAAACGTCAGGTGGTAATGTGTTTTGTAAGATCAAATAAGTCTTAAAAAAATCCTGTTTGTCCACTCAGTCCCTACACTTAGTAAGACTGAGCTGCAAAATGTGTTGTTTTTAATGTTGAAGCTCTTTGCTTATTTCCTTGCTGTGGATAATGCACTAAAGGATAGCTCTGGTTATTGTGCCAGCTATGTCAAATGTGCCACTCTGTGTGTGTTGTTCACTTGTGTCCATTTGAATGTGTCCCCAGTCAACCCTTCCACCACTGGCTGACTGATGTAGCTGTAGCCTAATTTTAGTTTATGAGGTGTGGGACCGCTGGGTGTTACCCTAGCTGCCATTTTAGATGAGGAGGCTGGGAACAGTGCGCCTCACGGGGCTCCTATCTATCGTAATTATCTCACTGACAGGGGTTGGACAGGGGGCTCGGACCTCACTCGCTTCCTTCAGCTTCCCTCGGCTCCTCACGTGCACGTTCACACGTCCAGGAGCTCGGAGGCCCGGTGTGCTTGCTGGCATGGCCTTACAGAACCTCAGTGTTCCGTGCTGCTATTGGACAGATTTCATCCCGCTGAGGAAAATGTTATCTAATGCATACTGTTGAGAGTGGCAAGATCTAGGCTAACATCAGACAGGACAGCACAACCCAATTAGTCCAAATTAGATGTGTGATTTGTCCTATCTGAATAGTTTTGAATCCGATTTGGGAATATATATATATATATATATATTTCTTTCTTTGAGATTTGGTTTAGTATTATCAAGTAATCTGGACAGGGTGCAGCCTATTTACACTAGCCTTCTCTTGTCTCTCTGTGGGTTGTGTTATTGGCGCCCTGCCTGTCCTCAGTTCTTAATCTCCACAGGAAGTGTGCATCTGTGTTTTCATTCCCCTGACAGGATGTGTGTGTCTGTGTTACTATCCCCTGGTAGGACACCACAGATGGTGGAGGGCTGGGTTTGATGAAGTTGGCCCCTTTTACTGTACATCACTGGGCGCGTTGACCTGGCCTGGCTGCTACATCTCCTGTAGCGCAGTGACGTATAGCAGATCACACTTTTGTTCTGGCACCTAAAATGCACTAATTCTCTACTGCAAATGAAAGGAGTGACTGTAGTATGTTTTCAAATTTTCTGGTGGGTCCACCCACATCAAGAGTAATTGTGTCTATTAATGAACCTGCATGTCAGAGTGAGATTAGCTCTTATTAGCTGCCGTATAATTGTGTAGCCTTTCTGAATCACTCTGTATTTTCATAATGACAGCCCACAGACATCTCTAAACCCTCGCTTCATCTGCATTTGTCATGCCGGGGGTGGACTGTAGCCCACCCAGCCAGCAGTTTTCTGTAGCCTCTGTTGATGTTGTCTCTGATCTGTGTTCCCCACATCAAAAGCAGACATCCCCCCTGCTGTACTCTCCACCCTGTCCCCCAGCCTCTCCAGCCAGCCTCTGTCACATACAGCTGTTTCACTCATCCGTCTCTCTCTGCCCATCACTGTTCTGTTTTATCTCTGTGCTTCTCCTGTCCCCCATCTCCTCATCTCTCATCTCTATAGCCCATCTCTCTGTCTCTCACCTCTGCGCGCTGGCTGCATATCTGACTCCTACTTTTACTTTTATTGCTTTTATTTTCTCCTACCTTGCTCTTATCTGTCACCTCGCGTGTTCATTTTCCCTGTGCCTTTTATCACTTTCTCTCCCACCATCTTTGTCTAACACACACTGCTTCTGTTCGTCCTTACTTACGTCTCTTTCCGTATCGCCCCCTCCTCTGCCCCCCCCC